ATCATTAACTACGACTCACGACATCCACAAGGTCTTGAAACCTATTTAGAGACCTCAGCCAGCAATCCCTGTCCACTGGACAAAGAAGAGGAGTCATTTTTAGCGTCTGTGGTGCCTGAAGTACTGCAGGGAATCCTGCTGTTCTTCACCTTGGCTTTCCTCATTGCATAGTTCATCCTCTCAACCCCCCAGAATGTGTGGGGAAAAGAACCATCAAAGTGATGGGGAGCTGTGAGTCGCTGCCACGCAGTTTGCTTCCACGTGCTAGAACTATGTAGGCTAGAGCAAGATGCAGGGGTAACTTCCCACTGGGGAGTCAGTAGAATAAAATTCAAACTCTTATAGTACAAGGGCTCATGAAAAGTTCCTGGAAATGTGCATTATAAATAACTGCATGGATTTTGAAACTTTTCACATTAAATAATCTTATGTTTTAATTTCAATTAAGCTTGTGCACTGGTAACATGTTCTTGAGAACTTCTGGCTCCAGAGAGAGCACATTTGTGGAAGCATGCCATCAACATCCTGTGCCCTTCACGAGCCAGGAAAAGCTTCAAAAAGAATCCTGTGTTCAGTAGGTATTTTCTCTTTGTAAGAGGCAGCACCAGGAGGACAAATAGGGTGAGAGTGAGACAACACAGGCCATTAATCTACTCTCAGTAACCTTGGCAGCCACGATGGCACAGCCAGTGTCACAGAGAGACTTGGAACCGTAGGATAGCTTCATTTAGTGCACAACCTGGATTCCAGGAACCCATTGTTTCTCCATGCAGCAGGTTTGGGGTGGGGATGATCTTTCTGGGCTCTTTGGTCCCCAATATAATGCTGTCCTTTGGAGAAGACCTTTCACTGAGCCAGCTTAGTGATGACTAGCTTCCTGTGGGCCAGACAGAAATGCAAGTAATTTGGGATGTTTGCTTTGTGTGTCTACAAACATAACGATACCCAGTATAGTATTAGAAGATGGGGTGTGTAGGGAAGTGACTAAGTTAGAAGTGCTTCACTCTTCTGAATAGAATTTGTGCTATTATAAAATCAGTTGAAGGGAGTGCCCTAGTCCCTTTTTGCCCTCTGCCATGTCAGGATGCAGCATGGAAGCTGCCATCTGAAAGCAGAGAGTTTCCACCAGACACTGAATCTGCTGGCTGCTTAATCCTGGACTCCCCAAGGCTCAGTGCTGTGAGAAGTAAATGTCTACTATTTACAAATAACCCAGCACGAGGGACTTATTATAGAAGCACAAGTGGACTAAGCCAGGCCTTCAAGACCAGTCTCTGGGAGGGGATCATGGGAGCTGGAACCCCACCTGATGCTTGGGTATGCATTAGAGACTATGAATTTTTATTTATTTATTTATTTTTTATTTTTTGACAGGCAGAGTGGACAGTGAGAGAGAGAGACAGAGAGAAAGGTCTTCCTTTGCCGTTGGTTCACCCTCCAATGGCCGCCGCGGCCGGCGCGCTGCGGCCGGCGCACCGCGCTGATCCGATGGCAGGAGCCAGGAGCCAGGTGCTTTTCCTGGTCTCCCATGGGGTGCAGGGCCCAAGCACTTGGGCCATCCTCCACTGCACTCCCTGGCCACAGCAGAGAGCTGGCCTGGAAGAGGGGCAACCGGGACAGAATCCGGCGCCCCAACCGGGACTAGAACCCGGTGTGCCGGTGCCGATAGGCGGAGGATTAGCCTAGTGAGCCGCGGCGCCGGCCCAAGACTATGAATTTTGAGGGCCTGGGCCCTTTCATATGAAATAGCTGCTTTAGCAGTTTTACCCTACATGAAGAAAGGGAAGAAGAACAGGAGAACCACCCAATGATAGATTCCTCCTCTTCCCTGTGTTGTCTACCTTGTTGTCAGCTCCTAGGGCTAGCCCTGGCTGGGTGACACTGGAATGAAATCAATAAGGACAACACTACAGAGAGGAAGAAGTTCAGGATACAAGAGTAAAGGCCCATGGTGGAATAAGCCAAGAGTATCAATAGCTCTGGCAAGGAAGGGCATACCAATTCAGAAGAAATATAAGTTACAGAGGAGAAATTTTGAGATAGAGAGAGAAAAGTTGAAGGAATAAAAACTAACATCAGCCTCCTTGTAGAGCAGATAATGAGAGCTTCTGCTAAAGAGAAGAGCAAGTTTGGGATGGAATCTCTAGGACTGAAAAAGATCTGGGAAAGTCCAGTGTTTGTCTTCTTCTTGCTAATCCCATCACCTCCAGGACTAATCCTGTAAAAGAACATTTATCAACAAATATGTGCTCAATGATGGTCTTTACTCTGTGAGCCCTGAGAAACCCAACAGACAAAATCCCTACTGTCTTGGAACATAGAGGACTCATTGGAAAATACAGACATGAAGTATTAAGAGAGAACAGTTCACTGGGGTGAGTCCCATTGGGAGAGATGTCACAGAGCAGGTGGATGCTCTGCTGGATGGCACTGGTTAAGGGAAGGATTCAGGCACCAAGGTAAGGCCCATTGCGCTCCCCTCCAGACTAGTGAATTCTTTTCTAACAGGGTTCTCTGCCTCTTATTTCTTTCTAGTCCTATACAGCACCACCAAATTTACTAGTGTTATCATGGTTCTGCTCCAAACAGTCCCCCAAGGCTCACCACAGAGGCTCCAAACATCTTGGGGTGAGATCTATGGCTTCCACCAGCCAGGGCCTGCCCTTCCTTCCATATCACAACTCCCTGTCCATCCGTGCCCACAGGCTGTTCCCTGATGTGTGTCCTCTACCATCCTTCTCTCGCTTCTCCTTGAGCGTTCGTCAGCTGACATTCACTCTTTGTGTCTCATTTCTGCTCCACCATTCAACATGCACCTCCCCCACGAAGCATTCTCTGACCCTGGGTAGCAGAAGCAACTTCCTTCTCTTCTGCATGTCCACAGAACTTTGTCCATAATTATGATATTTTTAATAGTTTTTGTTGTGCTGTGATTTTAAAATAAGATTTATTTATTTTATTTGAAATGCAGAGCAACAGCGAAACAGAAGGAGAGGAGAGAACAGAGAGAGAGAACTGTGATTATTTTTATACTTTCCACATCTTCCTATTATAAACCTAAAGACAGGAAGTATGCCTTATTTACTGGCATAATCCATAATGCTTTATATGCCAATGAAAAATATTCAGTTAGCTGTCTGTATGCATGGATTTTTGTATCCAAGGATTCAACCAATCCCGGATGGAAAATTTTAGAAAAAAAAATTGTCTGTACTTGAACATATACAGACTTTTTACTTGTCATTACAAGGGTACTTCAGAGGTTGGTGAAAAACGGAATTAAAAGATAAATTTATTTTTGATGCAAAATGCATGCATACAAGGGGTCTTCACAGAGTTCATGGAGGGAGAGTACATTTAGCCTAGCAGATAAGATGTCCGTATCCCATAGGTGAGACTTGGGTTTGGTTCCCAGCTCTGGCTCCTGACTTCAGTTTCCTAGCAATGAAGATCCTGGGAGGCAGCAGTGTTGGCTTAAGTAATTGAGTTCCTGCCACCCACCCCGGAGATCTGGTTTGAACTCTTGCCTCTTGGCTTCACCTGGCCTAAGTCCAGATATCATGGACATTTGGGGAAGGAACCAGTAGATGGGAGTTCTATCTTGTGTGCACTCTCTCTTCTGTCTGCCGCTTAACCAAATAACTTTCACAAAGATTATTTTTAAAAGTTCGTGAAAATGTGTATTATGAAAAAAACTAAGCATGGATTTTTTGAAATTTTTACATAAACATTTATTTTAATTGCATTTCCCATTAACTTTTTGAAATAACTCATATTCCCTAAACAATACACTGTAACTAGTATTCCCATCATATTCGTTTTATATTAGGGATTATGTGTAATAAAAAAAAATTTAAACTCTCTAGGAGTATGTGCAAAGGTTATATGCAAATACTCTGCCTTTTTATACAAGGGACTTGAACATCTGTGAATTTTGGCATACATGGGGTGTCCTGGAACCAATTTCCCAGATACCAAGGGACAACTGTATTCAGCTAAAGGAAATGCTCTATTAATGTTTGTTGGAATAACTCTAAAATAAAAAGTGGTCATATAGGAGAGAAGCTTAGGCTTCTCCTGTGGTCCTACACAAACTTTCCATGTTCCTGGAACACAAGTGTTCCCAATACATAGATAATATGTAGATATGTCATCCATCCATGCATTCATTGTTCAATAAAAACATGCTGATTATCTACTATATGCAAGTCGTGCACAAGGGTAGCAGGATGCTGGCTCTGGCTTCAGGCAGTGCATGTATCCATGTATATGTTATTATATTTTCTTGCCCCCCCCCAAACAGAGCAAAATGGCACTGCACATCACCACCAGGAGCAACGTGTAATGATCTTCATTTTAAGTTGTGACCTATAGGGGCAGAAAAGCCTTGTGATGCACAGAGTGCAAAGAGATGCAATTTTCACATGGACAGAGAATGCTGGCTTCCTCCGGACTCGCCTTCCTGTTTAGTGCCTGCAAACTTGAAGAAGGCATCCATAGCACCCCCCCACACCTGCCCCGCCCCATCTGCAATTATTTTCCTGGTATTCATTCAATGGGGAGCTTCATGTCTGCTTCTTTAGATTTCAATAAACGTCGGTTCAAATTGAAAATCAATACTTTCCTTCTAATGTTAACAAAAAAGGGAAAAGACCTCCAGTTGTGTAATTATAATCAACATGCAAAGGGGAAATGCCTACACGCACACATTTTAAAGAGTAGATTGCATTTGTTTCCAAACGGGCATTTTTTTCCCCCCAGTTGCTGCCGTATATAAAACACTTTAACAAAAAAACACAAAAAGTTACAAGATCCTGAAGCGCGGCGATAGATGGCTACCCACCTCCCATGCAACTAGAGCTTTTATCCTTACTGGGGCTGGGCGGACACACAGGCCGGTCTCTTCCTTCCTGCGGACCTGTTACCCATCCATGTCTCCGCCCAAGTCTCTGGGGACCCAAAACCTATCTGTGCCTCCCTCAGCCAAGAGCCCACGGATCTTTCCAGACTCCTTCGCAGCGGTGCAGCGAATTCATCTCTCTCCCAGGCTGCGCCTGGCACGCGGCCCGCTTCCCTGGCCGCTGCCTCCCACGTCTCCCCCTCTTCTTTCTCCCTCAGCCCATCTGCCCCCTGCGCTCTCGGCTCCCCATTATTTCCAGGGCCCACGCGCGCGCGCGGCGCTCGCCTCCTCGGCTCTGCCCCGGGCACGTCTGTATTTGGAGCTCCCGGAAGCCGCCGGCGACTCTCCCCCGGAGCAGCGTGACTGACACGGGCTCGCGTTCAGGGGGGCGGAGGCGGCGGGGAGGAGACCGGGAGGGCGGCGGGAGGAGGCAGCGAGGGGCCGAACGCCGAGCTGCGCCGCGCAGGACGGGACTGTGGACACCGGAGCAGGTAGGGTGGGGCGCTCGGGGCTGCTGAGGGTGGAGAGCGGCCGGGCGGCAGGTGCAGGGCGCCTCACGGGCCGGCGCGCCCCAGCGGCGCGGGGCCCCGGACGCCTGGGGGCGGGGGCCTGCCGGGCCGGGATGGCGCGCGCGGACGCGGGGACGCGGGGACGCGGCGCGGGCGGCCCCCATCTGGGTCAGGGCAGAGGCGCGCCCTGGCCGCGCAGTCTCCCTGGGCCCTGGCCGCGCAGAAGGCGGGTGCGAGCGGGAATGGGCTCTCGTGGCCGCGGCCTTCCCACGCGGGAGCCGCTGCGCGCCAGGGCGGTCTCACTTTTTCGGGGGTTCTCCCCGGCTCAACCTCGGAGCCTCACGGGGGTGCCAAGGTGGGTGTCACGGCGCCGGATCTGACCGCAGCCACTCCGAGCAGAAAGTGCTGGAAAGAAAGCGACCTGGCTTCATTGCAGAACCTGACTTGAGGCGGTGAAGTCACTTCTAAAAAATGCAGCGGCAACTGAGGCATTGAGGGAAGGCTCTTAACGGGGCACCCCCCCACACACACCGGCTCTCTCGCTGCTTTGGGTACCGGGTCGTGGGTGGGAGTCGCCACCTTGTCTTCCTGCTGGCGCTGATAACCAGACCTGCGAATGACCCTTTTCTCATCAGCATCGCAACGTGCTGCAAGTTTCAGCGAAACTGTGTGTGGCTCCTGCGCTGTTTAAAATGATTGTTAGAGGTGACTGCCTTGAGGATGGTGAACCAGGATTAGATTCGATTAGCCCTAGTGGAGACGAGTACTTAGCAAAAAGATCGGGGACCCTTGGTGATGGCCTCGTGGGAATGTGGCCGCTTGTGGAAGTTGTATTTTACCATAATCGTCTGTAGAGTATTGCTTCTCTACTGCTCATTTAGGTTTCTTTTTAATGCAAGACACGTGTTCTGGAATTCATGGTAGAATATCTAAACTCACTTAATGTGAGGTTACACGGTAGAGAAATTGTTCTGGTAGGCACTGGACTCTGATTAGACTGTAAGCCTCTTGAGGGTACGGGCAGGGTTTGGGGCAGCTGATTCCTGCAGCACCAACACTGAATACATAGGTAATAAACGTTCGTGAAAATAATTACATCCGTAGCTCTGCTGACTGGAGCGTGACTTCTTAAAGAGACTCAATATCTTGAAAAGAAAATCTACTTCTTCATGAACCCCTAAGTCTAAAAACACTTAACAAAAGTGGAATCAAGATGTCATCTACTGTACATAAAGAGGAAAAGAAAGTTTATCATGAAGGTCATTATCAAGAGAGTCTTCGATAGTTGAATGTCCATTTTTGCTGCTCTTTGTTGAAGTGAGAAGTAATTTAATTTGTTGATGCAGGGTAGGATTTGGCAAGCGTTGGAAGAAGAGATAGATGCTAAAAATAATTGGTTTTTCAGGCCATATGGTCTCTTTAATAACTACTGAGATCTGTTGTGGGATGCAAGTGGCTGAAGGTACATAAAGGAATGCTGTGTTTCACTTTATTTACAGGTTTTTTTTTTTTTGAAGTTCATATTATTTTCACTATTCTTTGTTCTTTTCCTCTCATTATTTAGAAATGTGGAAACCACTCTTACCTTGGGGAAACACAAAAACAGGAGGGAAGTGGAGGAGCCCAGCTGGCGGTGGTTGCTACTCCCAGCAGCCCTTGCCAGAATTTGGAGAAGAGCCTTTTGAAAGAGTTAATGGGCCAAATTTGGAGTGCCTGTTAGATACCCTGGGAGTTACGTTAAATACCTTCAAGAATAATATTAACTTATGTGGGGCATTATGGTGTCTGCTTTGGACTATTTCCTGACATTTTTATGTGTGAGGATTTGTTTTGGTTTTGCTTCGTTAATTATGTAGTATTTTGTGCAAAGATACTTCAGAAAGTTCATGGAAAGATGGAATTAAAATACAAGTTGATTTTGGTGCCAAAAATTTTTTGAAATCTGTGCGGTGTTCCATGGTACTCATTTTCTAAGAACTTTTTGGAGATTCCCTCATTTGAATGGATTTCAAAATTTTTGCATCTAAACAAACTTAACCTTGTAATAACATTCATCCACTTTTTGAAGAGCCCCTGAACACAAAAATGATATGCTAAATCTCTATAAGTTACGAATATCATATTCAAATGCACCCATATGAGCCCATCACCTGTTTTAGAAACTAGAGCTTAAGAGCTAGATGGGTGTAAATAGTATGGGAGAAAATATTAAAATATTAAAAACGCATATATGTGATAGTGGACTTGTATCCACAATACATAAAGAGTTCTTACAGCTCAAGAACAAAAAGCTAAATAACTCAATTTTAAAATGGCAAAGGATCTGAATATAGTTCGCCACAGAAGATATATGGCCAGTAAACCCATACAGAGCTTCTCAGTATCATTTATCAGAGAAATCCACATCAAAACCACAGATCACTTCACACTCCCCAGCTTGGCTGTCATCACAAAATCAGATCATGATAACTGTGTGCATTGAAGGAATCAGAACCCCTATCAGTGCTGGTGAAATGCTGCATTTCCTTTGGAAAACAGTTTGTCAGTTCTCCAAGTGAAACATAGAGTTTCCACATGACCTAGCGATTTCCTCTAAGTATTTAGAGTCAAGAGAGCTTGTATGTCCACAAAAAAGCCTGCATACAGATAAGCAGATTACTGGAATGTGGTCTATCTGTAAAATGGGATATTATTTAGCCATACAAAGGAATGAAGTACAGGTGCATGCTCCGACATGGATGAACCTTAAAAACATTGTGCCCAGTGAAAGAAGCCAGTCACAAAAGACCACATATTACATGAGTCCATTTATGGGAAATATCTAGAACAAGGAAATCTGTAGAGACAGAGCAGACGAATGGTTGCTTCAGGTTGGCAGTGGGTTTGGAGTTGGGGAGTGATAGAAAAAGGACACAGAGTTTCTTTGGACGTGATGAAAATGTTCTAAAATTGTGCTGAAGGTTGCGTGTATCTGTGAATATACTGAAAGCATTGAACTGTGTGGTATGTGAATGATCTCTCAATTAAGCTATTAAAGAAAATAAATGGAAGGTTGGGGAAAGAAACACTAGACTGTTTCCCATCCTGATACATCTTTCCTTGTGCTTCTCCCCTATGCGATTCCCCTGTCCCTTCCTACCTGTTAATCATTTCCTGGTTTTATTGTAAAACAGTTTTATTACATAACTATGTATTCCTAAGCAATATATTGTTTAGGTTTGCTTATTTTTTACTTATTAAAATGGTATCTATACCTTCTCCTTTTTTTAAGATTTATTTTATTTATTTGAAAGACAGTTACAGAGAGAGGTACAGCCGGAGAGAGAGATCTTCCATCTGCTGGTTCACTCCCCAGATGGCCACAACGGCCGGAACTGTGCCAATCTGAAGACAGGAGCCAGGAACTTTCTCTGGGTCTTTCCATGCAGGTTCAGGGGTCCAAGGACTTGGGCCATCTTTTACTGCTTTCCCAGGCCACAGCAGAGAGCTGGATTGGAAGACGAGCAGCCGGGACTAGAACTGGCACCCATATGGGATGCCGGTGCTTCCGGCCAGGGCTTTAACCCACTGTGCCACAGCGCCAGCCCTACCTTCTCCTTTTTAAAACTCAATGTTGAGTCTTTAAGAATCATCCATATTGTTGCATTAAGTTATGTAATACTTTTTGGCCAATAGTCCCTCTTTGATTTAGGTATGTGTTGTTGTTGTTGTTGACAGGCATTTGGGTTGGTTCCATGTGTTGCTGTTACCCAGAGTGCTGCTTTGAAGACTTGTCCATGTGTTTTAGCCAGTGTTCTTCTGTGTGAATGTGAATGTGCCACGTAGTTTAATGGGGAAAAAAATAGCCGATTCTTCTGACTTGCAAGTTGATAATAGACACCCAGTTTTTTAGTTTTCCCAAACCAAGAGAGGCTGCATCAGAGATTCTGCTTTCTCCTCCTGCTTCAATTCTGATTGGAACTTCCATCTTAAGAAGTGTGAAAAAAACATAGTTGCCCACCATGACCCTGTAATGCAATCATTCATGAATGTCTTCATCCCCTTATATTATGTGGCATTAGGACAACACAGAGGACAACTTTGTAAAGTCAAAGGGACATTACTTTAGGCAAAGTACATGAGCAAACATCTTTAAATTTTTTTCTTGTGTGATGTGTCCTACTGGGTGGCCCAGTAGCTCTAGTTTGATTTGGTTTGATGATTCTGGTAATGATAAGCCAATCAGAAATCTGGCTTTTTAATGTTTGGTGTTTTCTAGTCTGCTCTGATACAGTCTCTGAGTGTTCACACTTCTTCAGGATATTTCTACCATCGCTTCTCGGCCTTTTGGCTAAGATCAAGTGTAGGATATTTCTACCTTAACTTGGGATGTGGGAAAGCATCCTAAGATCAGAACAGTGAGGGTTTTTTAATACTGTTTTTAAAATTGTAGTAAAATCTATGTAATGTGGAATTGATCATTTCAAGCATTTTTAAGTGTGTGATTCAGTGGCATGAAGTACATTCACTTCCTTGTGCGCCCATCACTACTGTGCATCTCTAACATGTGGTCATCCTCCCAAACTGAACCCTGTGGGGAGCAACTCGGACTAGACTAAGTTACTGGAATTAAGACTTATTCTGTGCATCTGCTCTCCCACAATATGGCGCTGGGAGAGGAGTAAACAGCTTCTACACAGCTGCCTCTCACCAACTTGACAAGCTGCAGGAGCTGCTCCTGATTGGAGGAGAGCAGTGTGCTTGGCGTGTGGGTAGCAGAGTTGGGATTGGTGGAAGAGGACTACAAAGGAGGAGAGAGACAACATGCACCAGGAACACCTGAGGAACATCTGAGCAGCCCCCGAGAGAGCCGGCCGGCGGTGTGCCGCTCCCCCGCGGAAGTGGGGAAAGTGGCAGGGGGAACCATCCTTCCACGGAGGTGGAAGGGTCGGTAGCCAACCCGGGAAGAACCAGCAGCAAACCCGGGGAGGGCCGAGCAGACA